ATTATGCTTTCCATAAATTCTCAAGTTTTACTGAACCTTTAGAAGAAATTTCTGCAGGATGGCTGGGTAGCATTTGAGAACTCTCTTCAAAGTTCAACTGGGTTGCTCCCAATTTTACTACCGGTTCGCTTTGTGGATGCACAGAACAATTTATAGTGAACTGCGCACATGCGCGCACTACTAAACAACATGCTGGCAACAGCAGCAGTGACCAGGAAACCGGTTCAGGGGTGTGGCCAGCCTGGGTTGCTGCCGGTTCTGCGACCCAAGCCAAAATACCACTACAGGTTTGGCCAAACCAGGAGCAACCCACCTCTGTCTTCAAGGTAATCCACAGAGGAGGATAGTGGAGATCCGGATCCTTACTACCCTTCCGGCCTTCCGCAAAGCGGTTAAGACCTGGCTGTTCCGGCAGGCCTGGGGCTGTTGAATTATCCAGCCCCCTCCGAGGTTATGGCTGTTGTAGAATTTTAAATTGTTGTTTTTATTTTATTTTTTGTATCCCCTCCCTTTTTTATTGTGAGCTGCCCTGAGTCTCTCGGGAATAGGGTGGCATACAAACTCAATAAATTGAAATTGAAATTGGTTGTGCAGCCCAAGGCCTTCATGAAAAAAAAGGGTGTGGTTTGGATAAAAAAGATGAGGTCATCATCTTGATTTTGAACACCTTCTGTTACACCTCTTGTTACCCCTCTCCCCCTTTTGATTCTTTGCCTCTCTTGGTGTTCACTTGCTATTCTACTTTTTTAAGAACAACATAGAATTACTTCTTCCAACCACAAGAGGAACATATATTCCAACACCTTGACCAATCTACTCCGCTTTTTTCCCCTCACACATACTCTACTGTTCCCTTTCTGAAGAAACTACAGGTATACCATCCTCTCATCAACCGCCAGGATGACCAGTCACCCGTTCTGAATCTCCTGACTGGTTGGCAGATGGGCATCATGCTCTTCTCTCAGATTCTGACAGTTATTGGCCACAGAGGAGGAAGAGGTGCGCCTGTGGCACAAGGAGAGCAAATCCTGAGATGGAAAGGCTCCTGTGGGCAGAACCAGCATGTTGCAGGAAATGAGGTAGGTCCTAGTAGAGATAGCCTGCAGAAGAACCCTTCCAGGTATCTCTAACTCACCTCTATTTTCCTCAGAGGAGTTTGGTAGCACCTTTTTCTGACTGGCAAATGTTTATTAAAAGGGCATGAGCTTTCATGAACCACAGCTCCCTTCCTCAGATGCTGTCCTTGTAGGTTGCGGGGCAAATAAAAAAGTGTCAGGCTCAGAAGCACTTATATTGGAGAAAATACATTTCTGCAAATGTTCACGAAGAGAACCACAACTCATGAAAGCTCATGCCCGTTAACGAAACGTCTTAGTCCACAGAAAATGCTAGCAGACTCCTTCTACAGTCCCTATTTTCCTCCTGTCCTTTGCCAATTTAACATGCCAACCTTCCTTGGCCTCACCCTCATCACCATGCTGGGTTCTGGCTCTCCAATACCTGAGGTTGAGTGAGGTGAGAGGTGGGACTCCATGGACATTCCCCCACTTCGATATCAGCAGAGTTTAAATCACTGGAAACACCTAGAAGCAAACAGACAGAATCAATTCCGGGAAAGGACTCTCTGCTACCCCGTGTTTCTTTTTGTCTTTACTCCAGCCCATCAGCACCACCCCACCTCCTCTTCCTCCTTCCTTGGACCTCGGCTTCCAATTCCCCGTCTGATGACCCCCTTTCCCCACCCACCCAATTCTTTCCCTATTGTTCCTTGTGATCACTCACCTGCCTCCTTGCGATTCCGGATTTTCATGCGTACCCTGTTTCCCGCCTGCCGGAAGACACTCCCAACCTCACCATGGGTCAGCCGAGCTAAGAGACCCGCGTCTTCCTGATGAGAGGGGCTCTCTTTGTGATGGGGCCCCAGGGAACTGGCTGAGAGGAGAAAGCAGATGGATCAGTAAGGGAGGATGGCAACACCCACACATTTTGTTTCCAAATGTCAATAAATGGAGGACAATCAAGGGGTTAAGTTAACATTTATCTTACAATGTTTTAGTAGGTATTTTTTTCTTTTGTATTTTTAAACAACAACTACTGAATATTTGGGCACTTAGCCCAGACATTTATATTCTTAATTACATTGTTAAAAACTGTTTAATATACTTATATACAACTTAATTTCTAGGATTAATTTCTAATCAAAAATTAAACAGAGCACTGACTATGAAATCATGCTAATTCCTCTGACCACTTTGAAATATTTCCGTATAATTATTTTTTTCATTTTCTTCTTTTTACTTGTTAAAGGTAAAGGTTCCCCTCGCACATATGTGCTTATTTGTTCCTGACTCTAGGAGGCGGTGCTCATCTCCGTTTCAAAGCCGAAGAGCCAGTGCTGTCCGAAGATGTCTCTGTGGTCATGTGGCCGGCATGACTAAACTCTGGGGGCACATGGAACGCTGTTACCTTCCCACCAAAGTGGTCCCTATTCTTCTACTTGCATTTTTTTACATGCTTTTGAACTGCTAGGTTGGCAGAAGTTGAGGCAAGTAACTGGAGCTCACTCCGTTACGCGGCACTAGGGATTCGAACAGTTGAACTGACGATCTTTCTGACAAGCTCAGTGTCTTAGCCACTGAGCCACAAATGACTAGAATGACTAATAATAATAATAATAATAATAATAATAATAATAATAATAATAATAATAATAATAATAATAATAATAATAATAAT